AACCTTCATAAGCCTAACACCGGAGGAAGAAATTTCAGTGTCTTCGGTACCTTTCTTAGGTCGCGTCATGATAACCGAGAAAGGAGCCGAAGGATAGAATGAGAGCGAAAAAGAAATTCAGATTGAAACTAGAACTTTCGAATTAGAGGGTTCCAGAGAATCGCGATGAAGACAAAGATAAAAAAAAAAATAACAATCTAGCCACAATAAATTAAAGAAGGAAATTGGACAGTTACCTGGGAAACCGAATCGAGGCGTGGAGTAGTGGTGAAAGTTGCAGTTAATGGCTACAGCTTTGTATCACATCGTGTCTCGAAAATCGGGGACGAAACTGTTCAAATGTATTAACACGAGCCGTAGATCTTACCAAACGAAATCAGGATCGTCCGATTAAGATCACGCGTATCTTCAAGTTTAATATAAAATAATTGTTATCTCAACAAGAGGTAGATATCAGGCGGCTAAGCTTTAGCTTCCGAGAAAAGAGGTCTCGTCTCGAAAGCTGGGGGCAACTGTTGGGCCCAAATATGACCTGTTAGCTGAAGGTGACAGGCCTGAATAAGAATAACCAATAATGAGCTTTTATGAAGCCCATTAGTAATTACGTTTCGAGAAAGAAGTTAGAAAGAAGTCGGAGACTGTTTGCTAAGGAAGGAACGTCAACAAAACAGGTTACGGAGGAGAGCTCCAGACCTCATTTACAGAGAGCTAACAGGAGTAGCTCTAGCTTCTCTCGCATGAACCTAATAAAACAGCCCAGGATACGAAGATAGAGGCGTATGACTCGGTCAAAAGGAAGCTGTTGCAAATACCTCAGTTTACGGAGGCAATCTCGGAGACTAATCAGGAGAGGTTAAACGTGACCTGAGGCTATTTAAAGGTGGGAGAAAGGAAGAGAAGGGGGATTCTTCGAATTATTCGACACTTAAAGATTTAGACACATTTCATTTGTAACCATCTCTGTCAATCATTATTCTTTCGATTTGATCATCGAGATCATCTTTGTAAACCCTTTTATTATCAAAATCAATATAAACAAACGCATTCATTCACACAAGTCCTAACAGGATTCAGCCCACGATTGTCTTTTCCCCAATCTAAACCTAACCTAAATTAGAGAGTGAGTTTTATCCCTCACAACGATATTGCTCTAGTTGCTCATGGAAAAACACATTCTAAGGATGTGTGGGTTCTAGACACAGGAGCGTCATATCATATGTGTCCAATGAGGGAATGGTTCTCAGAGTATGAGGAAGTGACTCATAACAAGATCAAGATGGCGAATGACTTTGTTTGCGATGTTGAAGGAATTGATTCGATAAAGCTCAGGGCACATGGTGGTAGAATCTGTACATTGACCGGAGTTAGACATGTTCCAGCTATGTCCAAGAACTTAATCTCAGTTAGTCTTTTGGATAGCAGAGGTTTTAAGTATTCAGGTGGAGATGGAGTTCTGAGTGTCTACAAGGGTTTAGATGTGATTCTGAGAGGTTTCATTCATGGTACTCTGTATTTGCTGGAAGGTTCTACAGTTTCAGCAAATGGTCTAGAACTTTGTTCATCAGAGTTCAATCAGTTTTGTAAGGATGCAACAGCTACTAAGCATCTTACAGTCAGAGATACACCACAGAAAAATGGTGTAGCAGATATGAACCAAACTTTTCTAGAGAAAACGAGGTGCATGTTTTTAAATGAAGGTTTGGAGAAGAGGAATAGGGATTTTGACAAACAGGTGGAGCTGCAAAAAGTGCAGTCGGACCAACCGTGTCAATCGATGAAGGATCAATAGTGTCGATCGATGAAGGATCAACAGTGTCGATCGATGAAGGATCAACAGTGTCGATCGATGACGGGTCAACAGTGTCGATCGATGTCAGATGTTCAGTGTCGATCGACGTCAGAAGGTCAGTATCGATCGACATCGGAAGAAGGGATCGAACGATCGACGTCAGACGAGTTCTCTATTTCTGGAAATCAACGTGTTGGGTTGACAAATGCAGTAATGCTAGAGATAAACTAAGGAGAGTTGATGTCATGCCACCAGGGAGATATCACTTTGATGATATGGTGGGTTATGCACTGCAGGTTGCAGAGGAAGTGGATACTTACCAGTCATCCACTTACAGAGAAGCTAGTTCTAGTTCTGAGTCTGAGAAATGGTTTGTTGCAATGGAAGATGAGATAGATTCTCATGAGAAGAATCATACATGGGATCTGGTCACACTATCATCTGAGTATAAGAGGTGTGACAACTATATGGCTAGTTTGGACAACGACATGAGTCCTTATGACTTTTTTTTTTTACATGAGCAAGGTGGAGGATGATTCGTATATCTACCTGGTGCTGTATGTAGATGACAAGCTGATAGCTTTCAAGAAGATGTATGATGTTCAGAAGCTGAAAGAGCTGCTGAATTCTGAGTTCGAGATTTTAGGGTACCTTAAGGGTACATCTGATGTTGGTCTTGTCTACGGAGACAAGGATCTGAGCATGTTTACAAGCTATTCTGATTGGTATTATGCAGGAGATGTGGACATCAGGAGATCTATGACTGGTTACGTATTTGCTTTGGGTGGTTCTGTTGTGAGCTGGAAGGCGACTTTGCAGTCGACGGTGACTTTGTCTACAACTGAGGCAGAGTATATGGCATTGACAGAAGTTGCTAAGGAGGCAATATAGTTGAGAGGATTGGTTAGTGATCTTGGTCTTCATCATGATCAGGCTATGTGTTCTGTGATAGATTGAGTGCTATATGTTTAGCCAAGGATCAGGTTCATCATGAGAGAACCAAGCATATTGATGTGAGATACCATTTTCTGATAGATGAGAAGAGGATTGAAGTGAAGAAGGTAGGAACAGCTGATAATCCTGCAGATATGTTCACTAAGGCGGTTCCTCACAGCAAGTTCAAGCATTATCTTGAATTGCTGAACATCTCAAGCTGTTAATCTGGCCCTGAGGGGCGTCTAGCCTTGAGGGGCGTCTGGCCCTAAGGGGTATCTGGCTCTGAGGAGCATCTGGTCCGACGGGACATCTGAGGCAAAGAGAGAGTCTGGTACATCTGTTCTGAGCACGAAGAAATGCATTCTAGTACATCTGATTATGGAGGATTCAAGTCAAGGTGGAGATTTGTTGAAATATGCATTGAATCTGCGAGCTGACAAATCGATCGATACAGGTGTCATGTATCGGTCGATCTGACCCGACACATATCGGTCGATGCAAAAGTTAATGTATCGGTCGATATGTGTCAAATCCGAGAAATATGGAAAGTTTCATTAAAGGCTTTCTTATATATATCTTTAGGGTTTTACCCTAGTCTGTAGCACGAAATTGTACTCTGAAAATTCACCTCCATCAATAAAGTACTCTCTTTGCCCGTGGACGTAGTTGTTAGGGGTGAACCACGGTAAATCTCTGTATCTTTCTTCATTGTTTATCCATCTGTTAATATGTATCGTCTCACATCTGTCACAACTCAAACTAAAGAAGAAATAAAGGAGAAAGAAAATCTCACATCTTATAATTGGTTTTGCTATGGGGATCAACACTTAAAAATTAGCACGAAAATTCAATCAAGTTTTCCAGAAAATATGCCACCGCAACCAAACCCAACCTGACGTGCTTCTTCAGCGAGGATTTTATTCGCCTGCAAATTAGAAAGATGTCGATAGAGCAACTGCAACAGTGAAAAGAAATCTTTCAGATTATTATTGGGCCATAAGAAATAGTCCAACCCAACTTACATGTGCATGTTGACTCAGTATTTAACTGTATTATTGGGCCACAAGCATTAGCCATTTCACTTTGTCTTTATTCGGGTAACAGCAGCTACGTAGTCATACCATTTTGATGGATGTTCACGAGTTCCATCCTTTGTAGCTCTGATCTCAATGACACATGTTCTTTACACTGTATTAAGAATATGTATAGCTTTTCCACTGTTTAAGATGATCTCTACGCATTAATTAAATGTTTTATAGGGATTTAGTGTCGCGAAAAATAAAATTTAGAATAATCATTTTGCTTATGTTCGATTTGCCATCTAAATCGACATTTTGAATATTAGGTTTTTCTAACTTGTTTTGTCTGCTAAGTTTCTTTTTTTTTGTTTTACCACGTGGAAAGCTTTTAGAATAATCATTTGGCTTATCAGTTTATGTAACTCTATCAAAATCTTTGAAAAGCTTTGTATTTTATACAAGCTTGTGAGTGTATTATAGAATGTTTTTTCTTAATCTTCATGAATCATGTTGCATCATGTTGATTCCTTGGAGTTGGAGTTGCATTTTTTTTTCTCAGTATATAAAATTTTAAAAAGTATCAAGATTTTGAGTCATGTGTATATTTGTTAATAAACTTTACCAAAATGTGTTAAAACTCTTATGTTTTTTTCCTTGATTATATATCAAAATTTGAGAACCGTACAGAGAGATAGTTGACCCCCAAACTGACGTGATTTTAAAAACTCTTTGATCACCAGTCCATTTTCGCAAGTCATTTTCAAAACCCATTGAATTCCATATTCTAATAAATAAATAAATATTTGTATGAGGGGATCTATCCAATTATTCTCAAATAAATTAAAGAAAAAAAACAAGAGACCTTGTCAAATAACGCAATCATCGGATACATACCTTTACATTATTACACTGAAACCATTCGTTTCAGACATGCTTCACGTTAACCAAACCAACCTCCTTTGACTTCTAAAACACAAAATCATTCAATAAAGAGTAGAAGAACTATAAACAAAATCTTGATTCTTGTTTTCGAATCCGAACATGGTGCATCCGATGCGTGTCCATAGATTTTTCAAATTCAGAATTGTCTAAGTGCTCTCTCGAAATCTTCTTTTCCTCTTCTTAAAAAAATATTCAAGAATTTTCTTCCGTGACACCAACAACTTTTTTCGCCTCCCACTTTAATCGGGCAGCAGCCACATATTCCTCTAATAACTTTTCCCACCAAACTTCTTTTTATTTAGTTTTTGAATTGAATGAAGGTCGTCCGTAAGGAAAGAAGAAGACACATGATTGTGAAAGAAGAGGAGGAGGAGGAATACAAAACACGAGGTGGTGTTCTTGTTGTGGACATGGCATGGGTCGTTGATTATTCAAGACTCTTTTGGTTGCTCTTCGGCGTCTTCTCTTACGAGAATCACGAAGGAAAACCTCGGATCCTTTTCTAGCCCTCCCTTCCCCTCTCTCTCTCTCTTGCTTGTCCGTTTCTCTTTCTGCATCGCGATCTTGTTTTGTTTTTTATTCCCCCAATTTCTATTTAATTTCGTTTTTATTTCGTCAAAATTTCTCTCAAATTTTTAGATCCGTGTACTTAGTCATGTACACGACGGATGTTTCTTCCTCCGCCGGAACTTCCAATGATTCGAACCCTTACATAGAGACTGATCCTTCAGGTCGCTATGGTCGTGTAAGTTCCTCTCTCTCTCTCTATACCTTTTTTTTGCTCGTTATTGAGTTTGTTTGACTTTGGTATTCTCCTAAATCTATTTTAGTTTCTTTGGAGATATTTTTAGCTTCAATAAGAGAGATTTATGGAGCTTGAAATGATTAATACACATATTTGTATAATCAATTTGGGATTTGAATTATCCATACATATTAACTAGTATAATTTTTAGAGTTCGAAGCCAATGTTTCATTTAGCTATGCTCAGAACCGGTTCTGTTTTTCACTTTCCACCATTGTTCTTGAACAATGGGGTTTTGAATGCAATGATACAATGTGGTTTTGTAGTTCAGGGAAGTACTTGGCAAAGGAGCAATGAAAACAGTTTACAAAGCATTTGACCAAGTTCTAGGTATGGAAGTGGCATGGAACCAAGTCAAGCTCAACGAGATTTTCCGATCACATGAAGCTTTACAACGCCTCTACTCCGAAGTCCATCTCCTCAAGAATCTCAACCACGAGTCCATCATCCGTTACTGCACGTCTTGGATCGATGTCAACCGCAGAACGTTTAATTTCATCACTGAGCTTTTCACATCAGGCACACTTAGAGAGTAATGAGAACTCTTAACTTAATACTCTTATGTCAAATCAAGAGAACCTTGTTGTCATCATGTCCTGATGTTTGCAGGTATAGAAGGAAGTATCAAAAGGTTGATATCAGGGCTGTTAAGAGCTGGTCACGCCAGATTCTGAATGGTCTTGCTTACATGCATGGACATGATCCTCCTGTTATTCACAGAGACCTTAAATGTGATAATATCTTTGTTAATGGTCATCTTGGGCAAGTCAAGATTGGTGACTTGGGTTTAGCTGCTGTTCTCAGAGAATCACAACAAGCTCACAGCGTTATAGGTATCACCATCTTTTTGCCTTCAAATGGATTTTAAGTAAAGGTCCATTATTAACTTGAAACTTGACATTTAGGAACTCCTGAGTTCATGGCACCAGAGCTATATGATGAAGAATACAACCAGCTTGTGGACATTTATTCATTTGGTATGTGCGTCCTAGAGATGCTTACAGGTGACTACCCTTACGTTGAATGCGACAACCCTGCACAAATATACAAGAAAGTTACATCGGTAAGCAAGCAGAGGAACCTGAAGCTTTTATCTCAAATCATCATCATATCTTCATCTGCTAACTTTCTTTGATATGGTTTTGGTTTCAGGGGACGTTGCCTCGATCTTTCCGTCTCATCAAAGACATGGAAGCTCAGCGTTTTGTTGGTAAGTGCTTGGAAACTGTTTCAAAGAGATTGTCTGCAAAGGAGCTCTTGGAGGACCCATTCCTCGCCATGGATGAGGGGAGAGATGTAGCGCCTCTTACTAGATTGCCCTCACAGCCAGCTATTCAGAATTTGGCTGCAAATGGGACTGTGGTGGAGCCTTTGCCTTCAGTGACTGATCCAGCTAGAACGACAGATATGTCTATAACAGGAAGGATGAACTCAGAAGACCACACCATTTTTCTCCAAGTGCAGATTTCAGATGGCAGTGGTACGTTTTAAAAGCTCTTCTTTCTAGAAGTTTCTTGCCTGGTTTGTTTGGAACATGAAAGATGTTGGGTTTGCTAGAATCTTGCTCAGCTGTTAGTATGTGTGACAGGTTACATGAGGAACATTCACTTCCCTTTCAGCATTGTAAGTGACACACCTCTTGAAGTAGCATTGGAGATGGTGAAAGAGCTGGAGATCACTGATTGGGATCCTTTGGAGATCGCTGCAATGATAGAAAATGAGATATCTTTGCTCGTCCCAAACTGGAGTGCACATGGAGACCATTCTATCTTGGAACAGAGCTTTGGTCATGAAGATGATGATGATGACAATGACGAAGGAGGAGGACGAACAACACGCCCTTTCTACTCTGCTGCTTGCTCTCCAGACCCCACTGTATCAGTTAAAGACAATAATGACGCCTATGAGGACCCTTCTCTCCTGCACCAAAGCTTTGGTCATGAAGATGAGGGAGGCGGACGAAGAACACGCCCTTTCTACTCTGCTGTTTCCTCTCTTGTAGCAGTTAAAGACAACAACAATGCCCATGAGGACCCTTCTCCCCTGCATCACAGCTTTGGTTATGAAGTTGATGATGACAATGGTGAGGGAGGAGGACAAAGAACACTCCCTTTCTACTCTGCTTCTTGCTCTCCTGATCCTACTGTAGTAGTTAAAGACAACAACAACAACCCCCATGAGGACCCTTCTCTTCAGCACCAAAGCTTTGGTCATGAAGATGATGACGATAATGTCCAGGTAGGAGGAGGAGGAGGAAGAACAAGCCTTTTCTACTCTGCTGCTTGCTCTCCGGACCCTACTGTAGCAGTTACAGACACCGAGGGTTCAAGTAACGATGGTGGAAGTGGTAGAGGCTCCTCTAACACTTTGTTGAGTGCTCCAACATACCAACAACACTCTCCTCCCGTTGAGGATGATGATCAAAATCCGCAACGGAGGAGAAGGTTAAAGTTACATAAGATGAGATCGCTTGTGGACACTAGAACGCAGGTGCTGCACCGTTCGCTCATGGAGTTGATCAACAGGCATGCCAGGCGTGGGCGTGGCTCTAGCACGAACTTGAACGAGTTACAACAGCAACCTGTTGCTGACTTCTTGAGACGATCTTGAGAAATGTCTCTTTCACTATAAAACAGATTATTCCATATTGGTACATTAGCATTTTGCTTTGGTGATATTATATTAAATCATTTGTTTAGTGCCATTTTGCATATACGGAAGTTTGTTACCTTTAGCTCAGTATCCACTTTCGATATAGGAGAACACACAGTAAGTGTAAAAGACGTCGAATGGACAAAGATGCTAGAAATATCATGAAAATAAAAGTATATAAATTACATAATGTGATAGGCAACTAAAATATAATTAAGTTTTTTTAATTTCATTAGTAAATTTAAACTAACATGAAAAATAGTTAAATGTATTATTTAAAAAAACTGTTGTAAATAATGTAATTAACAACTATATTTGACTATTGTAAAGTTGATGACTTTTTAATTTATATTAATAAGTTTACATTTATATCAAAGTATTATAGGTGCGGATTAAAAAATATTTTTATTTGATAAAATGTGAAATTTATTGATCATCTATAAAAATAGACATTTACATAAGAATTGATTTTATAAATAATGTAAATAAAAATATATATATACTGAAAATTGTCTATCTACCGATTTTATTTATCATTTTATAACTGTAAAATAACTTATTTAATCAAAAGAAAAATATAGAAAAAAACATAACTAAATTTTGGGAAAACTCATAAATTGTTCATAAGTTTGCATACCATAATTTTAAATTTCATGAATTATATTTTAGTTTTATATTTCTGTGTTTATAGTTAAATATTATTATAAAATTATTACTCTAGTTCACATATGTATGAATATATTTAAATTTATATATAAAAATCACCATAATATTTTTCTATATTATTGTTGGTTCACACAAATTAAATATAATAAAAATGAGTTAGTTCGTGATCTATAAAAGTCTATAATAATAATATATAATAAATTTTAAAATATTAAAATAAATTCACAACATACTTTTAAAACTAAATATTAAAAAAAATGTGAAAAGTAAATAACTAATTCAAGATTAATGATTATGACAAATCTTTTTTTTTAAATAAATGTGAATTTACTATAATATATAACTATAAATATCAACTTTTATTTTTAAGATAGACATAGAATAATTTTATTTATTTTCAACAATATAAGAAATATAATTTTATTATTTGTTTAAATATACGGAAACATCATTTTTTATTTCCTATGAAAAATAAAGTGAGTTAGAATCGGAACATATTTTCCTTGATACAAGCATTTCTGGTCAAAAATAACAATGAGTTAGAAATACTTTAAAAACAAATGTAAATAAATTTCAATATACAATATATAGAGTTTGAAAAGATATGTCCAAAATAAAAAAATAAATAAACTTTAATTTTAATCAGCTGTTCACATTTCATTGATTTAAATTTTCGGATGTTAAATCGGTTTTCGATGTTTTTCAAATTCTTCATATATCCAAATTAACTACTTTTTTGGTCAAATCCAAATTAACTACTATACAACAAGACCCATTTGGATAATTTTATAGATCGGGTCAAATACTGATTTGGAACTTTTAAAATTGGGTTCGGGTTCGTAAATCGGGTCTGGCCCTACTTCTATCATCCTTTTCGTTTTTCTTCTTCTTCTACTCAAATCTTTCTCGTTTACGGTTTCCTCGTCGGCAAAAATCGAAAAGCTACGGCTACCTGATTCAACACGAATTCGATCCGAATCGTGAAGCTCACATTCAAATTTCAACATCATCATCATCCCCAATTTCGAAGCTTCCCTTTGCTTCAATGGCGTCCCTATCGGTAAGTCTCCTCACCTCTCTCGATTAATTCGCATTGCACCGCAAGTAAAATCCGAGCTGGTTTCGCTCCTTACGTCCGTTTAACCTAATCGATTTCACCATTTGCGTCTTTCTAATTGATTCCCATTGCCGTCCGTTTGCGTTAGGTATCTTGTTGAATTCTCACTGAAGGCTGGAAACAGATAAGATTAGGGTTTGTATTTCCTGTTTTGACTACACACCCTGAGTCTTAGGGTTTTCTCAAAAAAGGAGTCGGCTTTGAGAGGATAATGTGTATACTGTGCGTTATTCAAAAGTGGTCTCGTCAGGTTGCAACTATGCTGCCTTGGTTTGTTATTCCTTTGATCGGTCTATGGGCTCTCTCTCAGCTTCTTCCACCAGCTTTTCGATTTGAGATCACTTCTCCAAGGCTTGCTTGTGTGTTTGTGCTACTGGTTACTCTGTTTTGGTACGAGGTTTTGATGCCTCAGCTCTCTACTTGGCGTGTGAGGAGAAACGCTAGGCTTAGGGAGAGAGCGAGATTAGAGGCTATTCAACTACAGAAGCTGAAGAAGAATGCTACTAGGCGTTGTCGTAACTGCTCTACGCCTTATAGGGACCAGAATCCTGGTGGTGGAAGATTCATGTGTTCGTATTGTGGGCATGTGTCAAAAAGACCTGTTTTAGATATGCCTGGTTTAGAGATTTCTGGTTCAGGGATTTTGAAGGAACTTGTTGGAAGAGGTGGGAAGATTTTGAATGGGAAAGGGTGGGGTGAGAACGGATGTTTAAACAGGCAAGAGTGGTGTGAGGGTAGCACGTTGAGTAGTATATTTGATGGAGATGAAAATTGTTTGGTGGAGAAATCTTATCCTGGTGGTGTTGGTTTTGCTTGCAGGTTGCTATCTTCTCTTTTCATGAGTATTAGGTGGATTTGGAGAAAGATTTTTAGGTTTAGCTCAGTTGATGATTCTTCACTTGGCCCTGAGCAGAGACGGTTACTGGCTAAACAGGGTGAGAACGGGGCCAGCTGTCATGAGAGTAGGGTAGAAAAGGCGCGTAGAAAGGCGGAGGAGAAAAGACAAGCTAGATTGGAGAAGGAGCTTTCAGAGGAGGAAGAGAGAAAGCAAAGAGAAGAAGTCGCAAGACTAGTGGAAGAACGGAGAAAGCTGAGAGATGAAGCCGAGAAATGCAGCAAAGTGTTACTTGCTGCAAAGGAGAAAATCATCAAAGAGGCAGAGAGGAAGCGACAGGAGAGAAGGAAAGAGAGGGATAAAGCCTCAAGTAAGAGTAGTTCTGATGGTGAAGAGCATAACAAGAGAACAGGAAAGGAAACCGAGCATAAGCGCAATGTTGATAAGAACAATCATCTGGAACATGATAGGGGCTCCAACATGGAAAGGAGACATGGACAGGGTGTAGAGAATAATGCCACTAGTGATAGTACAAAATCTGGCGGTAGGTACTTTGATCGAATGAAGGGTACGATTTTATCTTCTTCGAAGGCTTTTAGTGATAGCCGATTATTTGGGAGAGGCGTTACTACATCTGCTAATATTGCAAAAGAAAACAAACCCATCGGTTCTGCAGATAATTCTCATACCTATGCTCATTCTAATTCTCATACGAATGCTAATCACGCAGTAAGTGTCTTTTCCAAATTTGTCACATAATATTTTGGACTATGGCTATGAGTAGACTCTAGTGTTCAAGTTAGCTTCTCTGTTTTCTGCTTTATATGATTGCAAAATGTTCAAGTGAAATGTGAATTCGTTTACTTCCATTTTTTATATATTAATAACTGAATATGCGATGCTCTTTCCACAGGTTGTTTCTGAGCCAAAGCCAACAAGAGAACCTAAAAAAGCATGGCACCAACTGTTTGCCCGTTCAACTTCTGTTCCTGTTTCCTCGAATGTTAGTACTATAAGTAGACCTATTTCGAAACCCCAGGAAGCTGCTCAGAGCTCACAGATTTCTAGTCAAGTTTCCTCAATACGAACCTTTGACAATCCCATCAGTTTTGGACTCCCATCGCCATTCACCATACCGGTGTACTCTAGTACATCCACTGCCAGTAGTTTAGGTTTTTCACATCCAACAGAGATTGTTTTACCTCAACCTGGTGAAGATGAACATTTTGAAGATCCGTGTTATGTTCCGGATCCGATATCGCTACTAGGACCTGTTTCAGAATCACTTGATTTAAGGGCTGGGTATGAAACTGGGTTAGGAAAACCCCATGCAATGAAGAATACATCAACTCGTGAAATCAGCAAGCCATCCCCAATTGAATCTCCTTTGTCCAAATCACGGGCTGCAGATGAAAAACAAGCTAATGACGGAAGCTGGCAAATGTGGAAGAGCCCACTTGGCCAGGTTGGTGGGTCAGCAAATTGGATTATACCTTCAGAGACAACTAGATGTAACGAGGAAAGTCATCATATAGCATCATCATTATTTGCAAAAGAGGATGCTTATTCACATAGGGACAGTCCTGAAAGTGATCACCAAAACAGCGTATTCAGCCCCATTACTGGTGGTTCAGGCAACCATGATCCATGGTCACAGAATATGTTCTTCCCTGCACTATCTGGCACGGAGAGTCCTTTTTCTTACAGCATACAAGCAGAAAGCATTCTCTTGAACAATGCAGCGGCGTGCAGGAGTCCAACTGGATCTGCTCAAAACAATCCATTTGAACACCCTTGTCCGAATCACTGGCTCAAGTAAGTCTTTTGTTTCTGTAAGTCTGCTGTGATCACAAACCGATTAGATGTTAATCTCACCAAATTTAAGCAGCCCAATCTTAGAAAATGCGATGAAGAGTGGGAATCATAAATTGCAATGTGATTGTGCAGGAAGGTGAAGGGCTCAGGGGATGGGATAGGGAAGCAATTTGTGGCAGCAGGTGAAGTTGAGAACCATCAAAAAGATGTAGGATCGTTTTGGTAGTCACAAATTCAAACATGAGGAGAGTTTTTGTAGAGAATCGCACTTGGTCTGTGTCTGTGTCTGTCTATGTTTTGCCTCTCGAGTCTCCAATGGAGACTTTTGAGTTTTTTTACTTGAAAACAGCTCCACTGAACACTCGACGCATAAACTATAGTCAGGTTCAGGTACTGTTTACTTTGATAACGTCTCTCACTAAACTCGCTTTGGTTGGTGTCTGAGCATGTTCCTACCAAATCTACTCGTGCGATTTAACCCTATTAAACGAAACCAAATCTATATACTGTAATCCTTTTTTTCAT